CCCCGGACGAAACCCTCAAAGGGTTAAATCTCTCAAACCAACCTTTGCTGGCTTTAAATTCACCAATATGAGCACTAGTTCCAGGCATTTTTCCCTGTTCACCGGGGTGTTAGTCGACTGGTGTGGGTTGCACCCTGGAGACAAGATTAAGGACCCGAATGGAAATAATTAGACAGATTTCGATGACACTGACTTTTTTGGGCTATCCTGGGTGGCAAATCCTCTGGGGTTAATTGTTTCTTGGTATTCTCAATAAGCCACACCAACAACAGTGCTACAGCAGCAGCAGACGATGCTACAGCAGCAGCAGACGTACTACAGCAGCAACAGACGGTACACAGCAGCAGCAGCTGACGGTGATACAGCAGCAGCTGACAGTGCTACAGCAGCAGCAGACGATGCTACAGCAGCAGCAGACGATGCTACAGCAGCAGCAGCAGACGATGCTACAGCAGCAGCAGACGGTACTACAGCAGCAGCAGCAGCTGACGTGGTTACAACAGCAGCAGCTGACGGTGGTACAACAGCAAGCAGCAGCTGACAGTGCTACAGCAGCAGCAGACGATGCTAACAGCAGCAGCAGACAATGCTACAGCAGCAGCAGACGGTACTACAGCAGCAGCAGACGGTACTACAGCAGCAGCAGCAGCTGACGGTGGTACAACACAGCAGCAGCAGCTGACAGTGCTACAGCAGCAGCAACGATGCTACAGCAGCAGCAGACGATGCTACAGCAGCAGCAGACGGTACTACAGCAGCAGCAGCAGCTGACGGTTGTACAACAGCAGCAGCAGCTGACAGTGCTACAGCAGCAGCAGACGATGCTACAGCAGCAGCAGACGATGCTACAGCAGCAGCAGACGATGCTACAGCAGCAGCAGACGGTACTACAGCAGCAGCAGACGATGCTACAGCAGCAGCAGATGGTACTACAGCAGCAGCAGCAGCTGACGGTGGTACAACAGCAGCAGCAGCTGACAGTGCTACAGCAGCAGCAAACGATGCTACAGCAGCAGCAGACGATGCTACAGCAGCAGCAGACGATGCTACAGCAGCAGCAAGCAGCGACGGTGGTACAGCAGCAGCAGCACTGACGGTGGTACAGCAGCAGCAGCAGCTGACGGTGGTACAGCAGCAGCAGCAGCTGACAGTGCAGCAGTAGCTGACGGTGGTACAGCAGCAACAGCAGCTGTACCACCAATAGTAGCGATGGTTGATTGGGGTTCATTATACAACCTGCCAGCTGGGAAAACACGCACTCCACTTTCATACTTATCAATGATCTTTTTCTTCATCTCTATAGTAATTCTCACCCTTATTGCTGTAGGGTTTGCACTAGAAGCTTTCTTGGGGCCCATGGTCACTTATTTTGCAGATAAAATCACCAAAAACACTGTAATAATACGAAATGTTCCGATTGTATGCTTGGATGTTACCGCGGAGGCTGGCTGGTAAACAATGCCACCGGCGGAACATGTGAGCGTGGCTCAGGCCGCACATAGACGCGTCTCAGACGAACAGCGTTGAGCGGGTTTTTTAGTGGTATGCGAGGCAAAATCTTGGCAATAAAATGTAGCGGTATGCGGATTTAACGTTATGTAAGGCCAACGGTATGCGGGGGTCCACTGTATAGACAAAACCTGCTTCATGCTTTTTGGAAACAGAGCATTAAATATCCAGCTAAACATGTCAATAAATGGTTCACCCATTACAAGACACACGTCCAGCAAATATGTACTAAGAAAGTTTCCTTAACAGTAGGTATCCTTTCCAAGATATGATACTATGGGCCCCAAGGGGCACTCCTTACTTTATATCACTAATATACCCAGTATACCCTTACCTCACCTATGGTATGTATTTATGCTTGGGGATCTACCACGGCCAATCACCTTAAACCTTTAATAACCCAACAAAAAGCAGCGGTGCAGATGATCACAAACTCCAGCACCACACAATACACCCAACCACTCTTCCAAAGCTTGAACTTACTTAATATACAAAATATACACACTTATTACTGTGCCTATTATATATACAGAACTTTAAATTCCAATATCAACCCTCCACTCAAACTTCTAGACAGCTTCAACAGAACACACAGGCATAACACGTGGCACAAAACACTTTTTGATATCACTCGTGTCCGTCTCACACCATGCAAAAATGCAATGCACATAAAGGGACTGAAGATCTGGAACTCTTTGCCTTAAACAGCAAGAGGTCCCTTGCCCACAAATCAATTTAGGATTATGCTCAAAAATCATCTCATCAAAAACAAACAATACCCAAACATCATAAAGAACAATACCCACACTATGCTAAACCTTAACCAAATTTAAAGCAACTCTCCCAAAGATTTTATTATCCCTTAACTATTAAGCCATTATTACAAGCTTAAAAATGTATGAGGAAATGGTATGGTGATACCGACAAGATGTGGAAAAAGACATTTATGTACAATTCAGGACATTTATTAAAGGAAACGTTTCACCACATTTCCTTTAATAAATGTCCTGAACTGTATATAAGTGTCTTTTTCCTTTAAAAATGTATGTTTGTATCATATAAATAATAGAGTAAAATACTGAATACTGTATTCTACCACTCTTCACCTAACTAGACTTAAGTAGTCTATAAGCATTGAGTCTGCCTGAAATGCCTCAGCATGATAGTGGCTGTCTTTGTACCAATCAAATTATGAAATGTAAACACACATTGTAACCTCAGCAAAGACAAATTTTTTTATTTTATTTTTATGTTTTGGAAAGTAGAGGACAATGAAAAAGTTGAAG